GGTGCCCAGGGGGAGGAGCTCCCTGCCCGTGGGCGGGGCTGGTGCCCAGGGGGAGGAGCTCCCTGCCCGTGGGCGGGGCTGGTGCCCAGGGGGAGGAGCGTCCTGCCTGCGCAGTGCTGAGCAGCCCTTAGACCAGGCCATGGAGCTCAGGTGAAACCAGGACCTGCGCTGGGGTGACGGGGCCGCGCGGGGAGAGAGGCCAGGAGCCACTGGAGACTCACCGGGGACACAGCTCGCACCCCTTGGTTTCCTCGTCAAAGACGTTCTGGATGGAGACGGCCAGTCTCGTCAAGCCCGAGGCGAGCTTCAGGCAGTAGGCGCTGACCGCGAGCTCCACGCTGTCCGTGATGCGCACGGCCACGTCCGGGAAGAGGCCCATGGCCCAGCTGGCGAAGGCCTCGCTCTGCATCTCGAACAGGCAGTAGAACAGCGCCAGGAAGTCCAGGTCCTGCCGGAGCAGCTCGCTCTCCGCCGCGCGCTGCAGGTGCTGCCGCAGCACCTGCTGCACGTCCCGGGCCAGGTGGGGGCCCGCGCAGGCCTCCAGCCTCCGCTGCGCCCCGTCGCTCAGGAGGCCGCACACGAAGGCCCCCAGGAAGATCCAGCGCACCCTCAACTTGCGCAGGCAGAGAAAGAGCAGGTCCTCGGCGCTGCCCACGGGCGCCGGGGCGCGGCGGAGCGGGAGGAAGTAGAAGAGCGCGGCGCAGAACTCCTGCGCGCTGATGTGCGGGAACCGGTACCACTGCTCGCCCGCCCCCCAGGGCCGCAGGACCTTGGCGTACAGCAGCGGGGGCAGGTCGGCGTCCGCCAGCCCGTGTCTCCGGAGGTCCTCGCCGCTGAACACGAACGTGTCTGTCCACATGCCCTCCGCGGCCAGGGCGCACAGGCTGCCCAGGCGCCCCTGGCTCTGCGGGTCCAGGCGCGCGGCGCCCCCGGGGCTGAACAGGTGCAGGAAGAAAGCGCTGTAGAGAGACGTGGTGCTGGCGCAGGCGGGGGCCAGGTCGCGCCCCGCCTCCAGCTCCTGCTTCAGGCAGGTGCACACCAGCCAGCACAGGACGGGGATCCCACACATGCAGGCCAGGTGCGTGCTGGCCCACACCAGGTGGAAGGCCTCTGCCGCCCTGTGCGGGTCGGGGATCGTGCTGCAGAAGTAGGACTTCACCTCCTGGGGGGTGAAGCCCAGGAGCAGCCTGATGGTGGGCTGCTGCAGCTTCTGCTCGATGTCCTGCAGGTGCTCGGACGTGGTGGCCACCAGCAGCGAGGCCCCGGGCAGCACCTGCCTCAGCAGCAGGCTGCTCACGAGCACCGGCGCCGGCCTCCGCTCCAGGCAGTCCCGGCACAGCGCGGGCGCAGGCTGGCTCAGGTCGCAGTCCAGCTCCTCCAAGCCGTCGACGATGAACAGCAGCCGCTCCGGCTGCGATAACATCTCCTCCACGGCGGCCAGCGAGTCGGACCAGCCCCTGGACATGAGCTCGGCCAAGCTGGTGGCCGGCCACTGCTTCATTTCCCAGCAGGAGAGGTAGAAAACGTAGGAGAACCGGTCCCGGTAGACCCTGCCCTCGGCCCAGACCAGCATCAGCTTGACCAGCATCGTGGTCTTGCCGACCCCCGGCATGCCCTTGAGGACCACCGTCTGCCCGCCCGCGTCAGGCTCCGGAGGGCTGAAGAAATGCTCCATGCACTCACAGTCCCGCCGGTTTGCCTCCTGGCTTAGGAAATCTTGGATCATCATGGCCGACTGCCTGCCCCAGAAGACGCTGAATTTCTCCTTGATGTAGGCTCGGTACGCCTTGGCGTGTCCTGAGGTGGGGGAGCAGAGAACACGGCCCACCCGGGTCAGAACGTCGCCCCCGCCCGGACAGACACATTCCCCGGAAGGGCCAGCTTCTGCGAGCCGGGCCCACAGGCCAGAGCCTGTTCCGTGAGTGAGACAGGGACGCCTCAGCGGATCCCTTGCTGCTGAAAATCTCAGGTGGGGGTTAAATGCTACCATTAGACACTTTTCTTAAGTCTTAATTTTCTCCTCTGTAAAATACCCGTTTTATTTTGTTCGTGTCCTTCTGTGATTCGTGGCACACGTAGCACAAACACTGAAATCCAAATTTAATAGCATTTCTGTGGCGAATACTTTGAGGTTTTACTTTTTAATTACTTATTCTAAATTCACATTCCTTTGAGATAATGTTTACAGAAACAGCTCGAAGGGCTGGCTGCGCTGCTGTGCTCGCTGCGTGGAAACGCGCTGCCCAAACACAGGGGTGGGTTCAGAGGCGGCAGAGAGACGCGACGGAATACTACTCGGCCATGAAAAAGGAACATGTCTTGCCATTTTAAACAAGGGTGGAAATAGAGGGGGGTGATTTTAAGTGAAAGAAGTCAGAAGGAGAAAGATGGATACCAGGTGCTTTCAGTCAAAGGAACAGACAAAATTAAACCAAACAAACTAGCCATCGACTGCAGAACTGAGGCGACTGAGGCGGGTGGGAGTGGGCACAGAGCAGCGGGGGGCCCTGGTCATCTGTGGTAACTTGGGCTGCCGTCTAGACCCAGGGGTGGAGGAAGCGGGACGTCCCCGAAGTTATCAGGGCGGCGATAGAGAAAAATTGACGCCCCCAGGGAAGCAAAGCAGGGAGCTGCCGGGCTGCCCGGCAGAAACCGGTCAGGAGAGCGCAGCCTGGCCTTCGGACGCCAGCCGGAGAAAGACCACCAGCTACCAAGTTCTCCTCTGCGGAGTGGCCTTTCAAATGCGACAGAAACAGAAGCTCCCCCAGGCGCCGAATGCTGCTGGAGTCCACCACACCAGGCTTTACCGAGCTGCCGAAGGGAGCCCCGCGTGACAAGGAAACCCCGAGAGGACACGGCTCGCGTGAAGTGACGCCCCGGCGAGGCGGTGGCACCCCGGCTGAGCTCTGCGGTGAGCCCACGGAGACCGAGGAAGCCTCGGCGACACCTGTCGTGCAGCCCCCGCCCCCCAAGGGCTGACTGGAGCCCGCTCGGCCGGCGAGGGGCAGGCTGAGAGCGGAGCCCGGGCCCCACCGCCCCAGGACAGGGCTCGGGGGCCTGCTGCTGTCCCCCGTAAGGGCGCTGGCTTTTCCCCTTCGGCTTGGAGCCCTCGGGCCCGCGCTGCTCCTGAGTGAGCCACTTACTCCACGGAGGGCTCGCCCGAGCGCCCGTTCACCCCTGGGGACCTGTTGCTGCTTCGGGGCGGCCCCCGGTCCCGCTGCGAGTCGCCAGGGCGCAGCGCCCGCCCGCACCTGAGCTCTCGCTGCGCGCCCGCAGACACAGGTCCCTCCTGCCCATCTTCTGGAAGACGCTCAGGGTGGCGGCCCAGGCGCCCTGCTGGCCGTAGGCGGCCAGCAGCAGGGTGGCCAGGCCCTCGCGCCCGGCCTTCTTCACCTCCGCCCAGGGCACCTGCGGGCGGCCGGGGGGCGGCGGCTCCATCCGCAGCAGCTGCTTGAACTTCCTGAGCTCGTCCTTCCCCAGCTCCTCCAGGTACCACATCAGGCCGAAGTCGGCAAAGAAAGACGCGGCCATGGCTCGGGGTGCCCGGCCGGCAGCGGGCCTGCGGGAAGGCAGGCGAGACCGGGCTGCGGGGCGCAGACGGGGGAGCAGAGCAGGGCG